CCCCCTCCCCCTCCCCGCTTCCCCCGATCGCCGACGTAAGCAGGCGGCGGCCCCAGGCGGACGCACAGATGCGCGCCGGGGGGACCAGCGCCGAAAGGTGCGCGGGCAGATCGCCCTCGTCCCGAGCGTGGGCAGGTGCTCCTCCCGGCCCGCCGCGCTGCCCGCGCGCGCGCGGCCCACACACACGCACACGCGCACGGGCCCCTGGGCCTCGCGCCGGCCGGCCCATGGCGCGCTGGCACCCCCGGGCGCGCGGGCATGGGCCGGCGCGCCCGCGCCCGCGCGTCCACGCCCAGGTCCAAGTAGATGCCCGCTGCGCGGGGCCCGCCCCCCGGCGAGCGGGGCAGCCCGCGTCCCTCCTCCCCCGCCTCCTCGCGCCACACCCCGCCGCCCTCCTCCGCGTCCCGCTTTCCTGGCCTCCCTCCTCCCCCCCCCCCACCCCCGCTCCCACCAAGACACGATGTCCGCGTTTGTTATCGACGAGTTCGTCCTCGCCGCCCGCCATGGCGAGCTTGATGAAGTCAAGGCCATGCTCGAGCTGGACGGCGCCGTGCGTTTCTCCCTTCCCCGGCCCGCCCCTCGCCGGCCCGCCCCTCGCCGGCCCGCCCTTCGCCCCCTGGTCTGACGCGCTGCCCCGGGCGAGGGCGCACCCCAAATGGCACTCCCCCGCACAGCAGGGGAGGGGCGAGAGGGAGGGGGATCTATCCAACAGCACACATGCCTGTGGGGTTGGGCAGGCCCTTGAAGGGGGAGCGTGACACACCCCCCCCTTACCCGGCTCCCGGCGCTCCCCCCCCCCCCCCCCGGTCCCGCCCGCCCCCCCCCCCCCGCCGGCTGTCCATTCCCCGTCAGGACATCAACGCCGTCAATGACTATGGCAACGCCGCCCTGCACATGGCCTGCGCCAATTCCGAGCTCGGTGCGTCGCCTCCTCTCGCCCGCCCTCCGACCCGGGCCAGCCCCCGGACTAACCAATCGGCCAACACCTGTCCCCTGCCGGCCGGCGGCCCTCCGCGCATCCCCAGAGGTCGTGGCCTTCCTCCTGGAGAAGGGCGCCAACGTCAACCTGCCCAACAGCTCCGGCAACACCCCCCTGCACTGGGCCTCGCTGGTCGGCTCGGTGGAGGCGGTCAAGCTCCTGCTGGCTGCCGGCGCCAGCGCCTCCGTATGTGTCCCCCCCCCCC